CAGAGTGGGGGATATTTCTTCATGGAGTCCTACAGTTGTGCTGCTGACCAGCATTGAGCTCCGAGAGCTGCTGAGCAGCAGCAGTGCAGCCTAGCAGGCCACTTTCCCCACCACCCTCTTGACAGCCTGCCCTTTGCACACGTAGCCATGCAAATGGCACAATATTTTCATGGCATGAAAAAAGCCATGGCGCAGTTGACATGACACCTGCCAGGGGCCCTAGTTTAATAGATAGTAGAGATCTTCTGGTACGAGAAAAAAAAAAATTATGAGCAGACTTTACTGCAGCCTTACACATGCAAGGTTTCTCAAATCATCAATAGTGTGTGCCACGTTTTCAAGTCCTCTCTGTGCAAGTCTTTCACTCAAGAAAAAAAACAGGTTATCTTGAACATTTTCCCCATGGAGACGCTCACATAAGGATGATCCTCTGCAATACAAGAGAGCCACTGGAAAGCCCTATAGTTCAAAATGAAACAATTCAGTTCCGAAGCCCTTGTGATCAAAAAAAGTGGGGAATGAATAGAAAAAAGTGCAAAATCAAGCACTATTACAGAATGAGAAGCAGCAACCAGAGGAGAGGGGAAGCAAGACATGAAAGCATCAGTCTATGGAGGGTCCACATTAAAAGGCTGAAGGTCAAATGAAGATCAGGAAGCCATGGGCAGCTTGCACTGTCCAAGTGCTCAAAATAAAAAAACTCATGTCAAAACATGAAAGAGAGGAGACTAGGGAGAGGAAACAAGAGTGATATCTAAGACCAAGGAAAGCATAAGCAGTTAGTAGAGTCCTAGATGATGCAGGAGGGGAGAGATACCAAAAACAAGATCTAAGGAAAGGTTGGAAGTGGAAATGGGGGAAAAGTCTCTGGGACAATGCATGTCAAAAGAGAGACATCGGCACAATAGTGCATAGAAGTACCAGGGATGCAGTGGATGGAAAGAGCCCGGTTTCAGCAATCCAAAGACACGGAGAAACAACAGGTCAAAGAGTAGTGCCGAAACTCCATAAGGAGGCAGCAGAAAGAAGAGAATGAGGATGGGATTAGTTTGTGAGAGATATAGGGGGAGGCAAGAGCAGGGGAAGCCTGGGGCAGAGCAGCAGACAAACATCCTGCCCAGAGATGAGGAGACAAAGCAAAGCAAGATATTGCTTTGCAAGGACAAAGAGATGGTGTCAGACTTTTATTCTACCCACCAATTTTATTAAAGACAAACACTGACAAAACTATGCATGCGACTACCCCCCCACCCCCATGTCACCTGCCAACAAAAGAAACCAATGCCTGCCTCTCGGTGAAACATGAGTGATCTAGTCTCGTTCTTCCCCATCATGGCAATGCAAGTGGGAGGGAACAACACAGAACATTTGCATCCCTTTTATGCGCCAATTATTAGGAAACACTAATCTGGATGTGAAGCATATTTAAAGAAAAGCACATTCTCTGCATTAGCTGAGAATAAAAACTCTTTTCTATGCATGCAAAGCAGCAGAAATAAAGAATGACCTTTCAAGAAAGTAAGTTGCTCTTATGACAAAAGCTAAAGCATTTCCATTAGAAATAAAAAGTTTTCTAGTAACTAATTGGCCACATCAGGTAAAATTCCTGACATCTACTAAAAGCAATTTTAATAGAAGTTTCCCTCGCTTTATGTGGATCCTGTAGGTGCAAACTGGCTCTTATGCCATTACCCTTTTCATACAAAAAGGGGTATTATATGAGAAGTAGATTCACTCTTATACAGTCAGTGTGGTGGAAGCCTGCAGTCAGTTGCTTTGTGCAGTGCA